GTGGGTTCATTGTGATAAGCCTTTAATCCAATTTGGTGTAATACACTTGAGATTGTGTAGATTCTCTTGGCTTCTGCTTGGGCTTATTATGAAATGCACACATAGATGCATGACTATGAATGCTAAATATTCTCTGTTTCTTTGTCGTCCAAGGGCTCCAATCAGTGAGATGTGTAGTGAGTGAAATGATAAAGGTATCTTACTATATGATCAGACATTAAAGAAACATGCTATGTTGAAGTGCTGGCTTCTCTGACAACAATGCAGCAGTCAGTATGTCCTCCTTCTAACTTTAGATTCTGGTCCTGAATGCTCTGGATTTGTTTGGACCAGAGAAGGTAGGCGCTTTTAAGGCACCCCCATTTTGGGGCCGTTTTGGACGCCCCTCGGTTTGCCAGATATGAGAGCAGTTATCAGGTCAAACCAACAGGTGTTGCAGCGATGGAAGCGGGCAAGAGAAGTGGTTCAGATAGAAGTGATTGATCATTTAATTTATACTGGCTTAAGAAACAAAGTTGTAGCTGAACTACGCAGGGCTAAGCTGAATTATTTTTCAAAGCTTATTGAAGAGTCCAAAGGCAATAGCTCTGCACTGTGGAAGCACATTAACACTTTAACTAACTCCAATGCCTCAAAACATCAGAGAATTAAGGGTTTAACGATAAACAACAAATTTATTTCAGACAACGCATCAGTTGCAAGTGAGTTTAATGCTTTCTTTATAGAATCAGTTCAGGAACTATCTGAAAACTTAAAACCTGTCGAGTTAAAACCAGACACACTCAGTCAGAAAACTCAAAATGGGTCAAATAGGTAACTTTGGAAAAAGTCAGTAACATCATGAATAAACTGAACAGCTCAAAGACTAGGGATATTCATGATTTGGACGGTGAACTGATAGAATATCATAGAACTCAATTACTTAAGCCAATAACACATCTGGTGAATATGTCAATTCAAAAAAAACTTTCCCTGAGAGCTGGAAAAAAGCCATTATCAGTCCAATTTACAAAAGTGGTGAGCCAGACTTGACATGTAATTACAGACCCATTGCCATTCTCCCAGTTGTGTCCAAGATATTAGAAAAAGTTGTTTCAGAGCAACTCATACTACATCTTGAGACAAGCCACTTGCCGCATCAACAACAATTCGGGTTTAGACCCAAACATTCTACTGAGACTGCAAACTGTTATCTTATTGAGAAAATAAAATGCTTTCTGGATAAGGGATATGTTGTGGGAGCAGTTTTCCTAGACTTGAAAAAAGCCTTCAACACTGTTAACCACAATGTGTTGCTATCCAAACTTTCTAAATTTGAATTCTCTGATCAGACTTCGCAGCGGTTTGACTCATACCTAAGTGGAAGAGTGCAATGTGTCAGAGTCAATTGGCAAAAGTCCATCTTCCGTAACAACAGCATGGGGATACCCCAGGGGTCAGTTCTAGGTCCGCTGCTATTCAGCATGTACATCAATGACCTACTTGAGAGCTGTCCTGAAGATGGCTGCGAAATGTACGCCGACGATATGGTTATATACACACCTGCAAGATCTGCTAACAAAGCTGCTGCCCACCTTAATGACTCCTTGCACTGTATTGCAAAATGGCTTGAGTCTTCTCACTTAACATTAAATATTAAAAAAACGGTTTCAATATGCTTTTCTATGTGCAAACAAAGGGATAAAGAAACATTCTTATTTAAAATAAATAACAAAACCATCAATGTGGTTGAAGATGTAAAGGACTTGGGGATCATTCTAGACTCACACCTACGATTCGAAAAACACATAGATTGCACCTGCAAAAAAGTTAAATCTAATCTAAACTGCTTCAGAATCATTAGAAAATACCTCTCATTTAGTACAGCTCAGTTATATACAGTATGAATGCTATGATATTATCACATCTATCATACTGCATCAGTTCTTGGTCTCAAGCCTCACAAACAACTTTCAAGCCAATCATATCCCTATATAACCAATCATTAAAAATCATGGACAAAAAAACGATAAGATGGCACCATTAGAGAAACACAATATGTTTAGCTTTGAAAGCTTCATTAGCTACTGCAACCTCAAATTAATGTTTAAATGTCTGCATGGTCTGGCACCTTCTCTGTTTGATGAATTTGTAACGAGACATCAGGATTCTTGTCGTGTCAACACACGCGCTTCCAATGCAAAAAAACTCTCTACTCTCTCTACTCTCTACAGAGTTAGAGTTACATCTCTCCTTTAATCTGAGGCTAAATGAACATACTTTTTAACTCTGTCCTTGTAAAAAAGAGAGATACATTTCCTTTAAACCCTTCGTCTCACCAGATGTTTCTCGCCTCTTCACAAGCTGATGAATGACAGCTAGCAGAATCCAAAGCCTTCACAATTAAGCCTTCTTCTGATGTTTCAGGGTCATGTAATCTCATTTCATGCTAAGAAGTCAAAGTAATGTAGACGACTGAAGAAATGAAGAACAGCCCTGTCACCTTCGGAGTGATCCAGTTTTTAGGGTTCAATCAATTTTCTGCCTCCGTCTTCGCCCCGTCCTTCTGAACCCGTCAGTCTTTCCTCCTCGTCTTCACATTTCAATGAATAAAAAAAGTGACTTTTAATCAAGGCCTGTACCTCTAGTGGTCGGCCTCACGAGGATGATACACTCGCAGTCTTGTCCATGTCACCGTCTGTAGAGTCTTTGGGATGATCATGCTGGATAGGAAAAGCAAAATGCATAAAAACCGTTCCTTTCTGTTTGGAGAGGCGTTGGAAGTCAAAGCGTGAAGTTATCGGTGGCATGCACAACGACCTCGCTCTTATATAAGAAGTTTGCTGCTAAACAGCATGCAAAAAAGTCTCAAATGAGTTACCATAAAAATCCGAAGCACACAGAAAAAAATCTTAATAGCCTCCGTAGTGAAAGATGGAATACTTATTCCTCCATAAATAAAACATGTCACCGTGCATAAAGCAGGACTGCGCTTATTAATTCATTGGCTGTGGCTCTAAAACTACACAGTAGCACAGACTAATGGGGCTGGGGAGAGCACTCAGTGAATCATTAAATTCATCAACTCTAATTATGGAGGTCATTTAAAAGCCTTTGAAAAATCACACAGCTGTCAATATGGCAGCAAACAAACACAACTTTTCTTCCTCCACTCCAGTTTGTCACTCAGTTTGTATTTTTACGACGCTGGCCTTGCCATGAACTTGACATCAATTACATGCAGCCAGTTGCTATGGTGATGACATGGTTTGTTCTGCTGTGTTGGCGCAACACCAAAATACTCCCACTCAGAGGCCGGGTTCACCGCTCAGCAGTTTCTCTCTCTCTCTGGCAAACAGTCAAACACATCAGGCAGAAAGAAGCAACATCTACTGCACGACGTTCATCTCTTTCACTGCAGACTCCGACTTATTATTTCGTATCAACCCCGACATGTCTGGACAATTGTTTGGATTCGGTTGGCACACTAACTGATAGGTGGCGGCTGTGGAAGAGTGGATTTTAAACATCTATTTTTTTCTGCTTATGAATATGTGCAAAACATCAGACTAGAGTGAGGTCACACTAGTTCATCTGCCGCTGCTCGCTGCCACTCTAGTCGATGCTCGTGTTTCCACATCACGCGCCGCAGTCCGTCTCAGCAGCACCACTCCACTCTGCTCCATTTCAAATACCCCCCCACAGAGCCCACTGCAAACACAGAATAGAACATAATAGATGGAGCTGGAGACACATGGCGGCGCTCGCTGTGGTAAACAGGAGCATCGACTAGAGCCGCAGCGAACGGCTGATCGCGGCGTGCAAAGGAGTATGTGTAAACCGGCAGTGACAGGAGGTGGTGAGGAGGGTCCTGACACCCCTATATGTCCATGGCTGTACCGTGTAGTCTGATCTCAGATGTTCTCTGTGGGTTGTATCGATAGATATTTGTTTGCATGAGATCGGAGTGAACATGCTACATAAATGCTGCTCGATTGCAAAACAGCAACAAAAAAATCTCCTCCTTATTTTAACTCTCTCATCCAGGTCTATACTCCCTCCCGCCCACTACGCTCTGCCAATGAAAGGCGTCTGATCCAACCTTCACAACAGGGTCCTAAGTCTCTGACTAGACTCTTCTCCTCTGTCGCCCCCCGGTGGTGGAATGAACTTCCAAACTCCATTGGATCTGCAGAGTCTCTCTGCACCTTTAAGAAAAAGCTAAAGACCCAGCTTTTTCATGAATACCTAACTTAATGATGATGGTCTCCATATTATAGATGATGATGATGGTAATGACGATGGTTTTTGTTTGATAACGATGACTTGTAAGATGGTTTCTATACTGATTAGAACTGCCGTCAATGTTGTGCTTTGCCTCTGGTCACTTCCTGTCAGCACCTGTGTGTCCAATCAAACTCAAAGCTGATCGTTTGCTCTTACTGACATTGTTCCCTTTTTTCTAGATCCTTGCTTGTGTTGTACTTGCTCTCAGATGTAGGTCACTTTGGATAAAAGCGTCTGCTAAGTGAATTGTAGAATTGTAGAATAAATGACACCTGCTTGATAAAGTTTTCACTGTTAAAGTGAGCGTGTGAGCAGTTACATTTGTGGTCTTGTTTCAGAGTGTTTCCTCTAAATGCCTTTTTATTGTCACTTATGGATGATAAGCAGCGAGTCCACGGCTCAGGAGAGAGAAGAATCAGATTGTCCATGACACGTGGGCTCAGTGGGTCCATCAGCACAATAAACCTCACAGTACTCCCTCTGCTCTGGCTTCAACCTTACACGGTTACTGGCTGACATTAGAGTGTGAGCGTCTCTGAATGGATAAAAAAGAATCACTGCATGAATACAGTCCAGACCCATTCCTTTAGAGTTTATCGACCATAAGTGACCCTTTATACCCTTTATGACAGCAGAGTGCATCCTCAACGTTTCTCTGCTCATTTGAAGCTTCATCCTTTCACATAACAACCGTCAGGAGATCTCTTTATGGAGATGAAAAAACTACACCCAAAAACACAACAAGTCAAGACTTTTATTATGTGTTCATCTTTCATCCAGTACTTCATGGCAAACATTCACTGTCTTAAAGGTTGCTGCTCGTAGTATTTACCGTGTAGTGCAAGTGATTGCCCAGGTAGCTTAAAGGTGCAGGAAGTGCGTCACTTGTGTTTATTGTTGCTTTTGTTTGTTTCCTTATTCAGCCTCAGCAGCTGTTTCTCAGCCAAGCAGTGCATGCTTGCTTTAGACTAAGACTACGTTACTATCATAAAATAAAGCTCCATGATTTTTAAAATGCTCATAATTCAATCTTTACTTCTCTGCCTGTTAAGCTCTGATAAAGGAAGCTGTGAGGTTTTCATTAATGAGACAAATGTCCCACACGTGCCAGAGGCTTGCTAACCAAGCATGGTGCCCAGATACAGGCAATTAAAGATGGAGCAATCAAAATCAACAAGGCATCTTGGATTCTCTCCACACAGATCATCTCTGTTAATGCTTTATTAACCTGGCTCTGGGATCATGGCTCTGATTGGAGCTCAAACATGTAAACAAGAAGAATCACAGCTGACTCTCTGATCTGATGTGCGGCTGAATGATGATGGAGCTTCTGTTTAATCTTGCTGCAGATGTGTTAACATACTCCCCTCTGAAGATGATCCACTGACTGGAGACGAGAGGAAAATCACCCTAATAAAGATGTCACCCTTCTTCTTCTTCTCTCTAGCAAACAGGAGCATCTTGTCTGTGAGGGATTTTTTTTTTTTAAAAGCGATGAATGGCTGCTCGGCTCAAATCTAAAATTTGCTCTGAGTCTTTTCCATTTCAAATCGCCCTTGTAGCATTCACTGGAATGCTGTTGTTGCTCTTTGTGCTTATCAGACTATCACCTCGGCTCTTTGTCTTTCCAGAACCATCCGCTGCCTTGTCCGTGTTCTTGCGGAAACAGTAGACCCCGTATAGGCGGAATTTTTTATCAGCGAAGCCCAGGTGACGGACGCCTGGCTGGGCTCCTCCACAGCGAGAGCGGGGGTTGACGATGGGATAACGGATGCTGCCGTCCTCCAGCCAGCCGGCCTCACAGCGGTCCAGAAGCTGGAACTTCCATGCAGCGTACAGCTGGCCCACATTAGCCACCACTGAGCCATCGCGAACACAGGCCTTCATCGCCTCCGCATAGTTCACCTTCTTAAAGCGTTTCAGGAAGTACACTTTGCCTGAGGGGAGAGAGAGGGAGAGGACATGTTTGTAGTGAGAACATGTGAAAAGCTGCAGGAGAGTGTTGCTCAGGAGGGGCAAAAGGAGGGAAAGAGAGAGAGAGACTTGGATGAGAGAGTGATGCCCCAGAGACAAGCTGAGCCCTGAGGGAAGATGTTCTTTCCTCTCCTCTCCTCTCCTCTCCTCTCCTCTCCTCTCCTCTCCTCTCAGTTCGAGTGTTTGCAGAAAAAATAAATCATTCACACAACAATCTGGGCAACAGCTCAAAATCGAAAGAGCAATGTGTGAGTGGACAGCCCTCACAATGACTTCTCCAAAGCTCTCTTTACTTTCATCTCAACTCTGGGAACACTTTGTGCAGCTTTGGAAAAAAAAGGCATCATGACTGACTGAATAGTTTCAACTGAACTGAATAACATGTTTCTTTCTTTCTTTTTTTAGATTGATCTTTAAGACTCTGTGTGCCTTTATTTGAGAGACAGGACAGTGGATAGAGTCAGAACTCAAGGAGAGAGAGTGACAGAGTGGGGAATGACAGGTGGAAAAGGAGCCACAGGTCAGATTCGATCTCGAGAACTAACCTCCGTACATGGGGCAGGCAAACTCACAACTTGTTCACCTTCTCTTCAAAGGTCAGATATCCTCTTCCTCCTCTTCAGTGTAAATAGGTCTCAGAGCTCCTCAAAACATGTGTGTGAAGTTTCTTGTTCTAAATCCACTCTGATCCTGTATTTGATCATGTCTATAAACCCCTCTATTTCAGCCCTGCTCAGAACAGGCTGTTTCTGTGTCTGTACCTTTAAATATGTAAATGAGCTGTGTATGACCACGCCCCCTCCCTGGAAGGACTTGGGTGTCTCGGGCTTTCTCGCTCCATGTCCTATTGTTTACGGTGAGAAGGCAGACTCAGAGGGCAGAACAAACACCTAGCTGTGGGAGTGTCACCCACCTGGGGGAGGGGCTACTGCCCTTTGTGATGTCATGAAGGGAAAATCTCCAAACGACCTGTTTGAACACACATTTTCTGAAAAGTGGAGCAGGCAAAAGACGAAGAGGATGGACTTTTCTCATCATTGGGGGTTTGTAGACTAGAGACATATATTAGTGTTTAGGCCCTGACTCACCAAGCAGACATCAAAGAACTAGTGGCGACAAAGGCCGAATGTGGCGTCACCTCACTTCGCCTCATGTCGCCTTTGTCTTAGCCAAAAAGTTGCGCTTGTCGCAAAGACACGAACAGCCAATCAGAGAGATTCCTCTCACCAACCTCGCAGATGCCGCCCAACGCTGAAACGGCCCGAAAAAAGGCAGATGGGTGCGGACAAGTAGCGACCGAGCTGGACACACCTCAACAACTCAGGCGACGACCGGTTGGACCGACGGTCTCCTTGGCCTGTCGGGGCCTTTAGACAAACATGGTGACGAGTATTCTGTTGAAGAAGAATCCGTCTAAAATAATGATGTTTGGGTTGTTATTTTTCTCTGTCTCATGAAATTCAAGTGAGCAGCCTCGACTCTGCACTCAGCGCGGCGATTGATTTTATGCTTGTTTATGCAACTGCTGGCTATTAGAGAGGCAGAATATTTTCTCATATTTCCCCGGGGGACACTCAGTAAATCGCCTCCAGCTGGACGGAGAAACAGTATCAGTCATGACCACCGCTGAAACCTTCTGCCCACAACAGACTGTCCACAATAATGAACACACAGGGGAAGCCGCAAGCGATTGCTTCTATTGAGAAACTTTCTGCTCACTGAAGCCAAGACACTACTCTGCAGTTTACTATTCTCTAAGTGTTCTAAATACAAATTAAGAGGACGTCTAGTTAACACAAAACATCCACTTTAAGTTTTTAAAGGTGTCATAAGTTTATCTCTCCTATCACAACTGCAGGAGGCCAGGCAGGCTGGATGTCTCTTATCCAATGGCACCTTGTGTTTATAATGATGATGTGTTAATGCAGTATTCAATGTTTTTTGTGCAAATCTTACTGAAGAACGTCAGACAGGACATCTTTACAACAGTGTAGCGGTGACTCATTGAATCAGCCCTCACATTTAACATCATATCCTGGTACAACCTTCAAACTGGAATCATCAAACATACAGCTCCAGTCACCGGCACCACTCAAATCTAACTGTCAGAACTTTCTATGCGTGCAGCAGAAAGGAGACAAGTCTGCATCACTGAGGACCCTTCACATCCCCTTCAACACTCAGTTCAGCTGCTCCCCTCAGGCAGACGTTTCAGAGTCCTCTCGGCTACAAAGAAAACCTACAATCACTCCTTTATTTCCACTGCAGTTTGCATTTGAAACCAGGCTAAATAAACATAACTTTTTAATGTGCTTTTACTCATTCATGGAACTATGTTTTATACGTAGTGCATTCACAATAACTCAACGTTGTTCAATGTTAATGTGCATATTCACAATATCTCCCAGCCTTGTTCAGTTGTAAACACGTAAAAGAAACACAGTCTGATACCGCTAATTCAAACGTTAGTGCATAACTCAACATTGTTCAGTTACGTGTAACACGTAAAGCTCACTTTTTCAGTTCATTCCCTGTCCACGAATCCCTCGAATTCTTCTTCTTCAGTGTCCGAATTGAACAGTTGGGCGAGTACGGCATCCAACATGCCCGGCTCCCTCTCGTCATTATCCGAGTCAGTGTCGCTGAGCGCCGTGTACAACCAGTATGGATCAACCAATTAACCAATTGATCCATATATAAGGCGCTCCGGATTATAAGGCGCACTGTCGTTTTTTGAGAAAATTAAAGGCTTGTAAGTGCGCCTTATAGTGCGGAAAATACGGTAACTCATCCATTCATACACATTCACACACTGCTGACGAAGTAATTCGGGGTTAAGTGTCTTGCCACAGGACACATCGGACATGTGGCTGCAGAAGCTGGGGATCGAACCCCAAATCCATCAGTTGAGAGATGCCCCAGCATGTGAGTCATCACAAGGACAGATCGGGGACTTCTGAGCTGTCAAATCCTCCACAACAATCTTAATATGCCCATCTCTCTCTCTCTCTCTCTCTCTCTCTCTCTCGCTCTCTCTCTCTCTCTCTCTCTCTCTCTCTATCTCTCTCTCTCTCTCTCACTCTCTCACCATTGAGCTTGGAAGTGAAGCAGAAAGCATCATAGTGCTCATCGTCCAAGTGCCGGTAACCATAGTTACGGACTCCAGCAGGGGTGTCCTTGCGTCCGCACTGGTCTCTGGGATGAGCGATAGGGTACTGGACCGAGCCGTCCTCCAGCCAGCCGGCGTTACACCAGTCTAGTCCCTCCAGCCAGGCCTGTGGAGTGAGATAATGTAGAGGAGTGAGCCACACTCTGTCTGTGTGTCTGTCTGTCTGTCTGTCTGTGTGTCTGTCTGTCTGTCTGTCTGTGTGTCTGTCTGTCTGTCTGTCTGTCTGTCTGTCTGTCTGTGTGTCTGTGTTTATGTGTGTGTGTGTGTGTGTGTGTGTGTGTGTGTGTGTGTATCTGTCTGTCTGTGTGTCTGTCTGTGTGTCTGTGTGTGTGTGTGTGTGTGTGTGTGTGTGTGTCTCACCTTGTGCAGTTGGGAGTGGGAGGCCAGTATAGCATCCTGTTTTTTGCATGCGTCTTCAGCCTGGTGGTAGTTCAGCTTATAGCGCCCCTCACGGGGGTAATAGGGGAACACCACTCCTACAGGGGACAGACACAGATCGTTTAGACTTCAGGTTTAAAGACTCCACACATTTAAACAAGGCGTTCAGCATCTCCAGTGTCTGACCTTCCAGGTCCAGGTTGACGAATCCTGTGTCATCTTCCATGTCATTAGTGACTTCACACTCGTAGCGTCCGTAGTCCTCCAGGGTGACATTTTGGATGATCACTGAGGCGTCTCCTGGTCCCGCCTGCTCCAGAAACACACGGCCTCTGTACGCTCCAAACACACGCTGCTGCCTGCAGAGAGGTCACACAGTATGTTCCTGCCCTTATCAGCATTGTTATGAGTTAAATAGAGAAATGCTTCCCAGGTAGCATATCTTTACGGCCGTATTAACAAAGAAGTATCTTTTTATGATGAAATAAAACATGAAAAAGTGTTCTGAGTATTCTCAGAGTATTCAGCAGAGAATAAAACAATTAAATCAAGAGGACTTTTGTTGGATTGGGTCCAGATGACGGGATAAAAACATCCTGTCATTTGGTGAGAGGCGGGGTTACACGATGGACTGTTCACCAGCCAATCACAGGGCTGACATATAGAGACAGACAATCAGCCACACTCACATTCACACCTACAGACAATTTAGACAATTTAGACAATTTAGAGTCACAAGAGAACCCACACATGCACGGGGAGAACATGCAAACTCCACACAGAAAGTCTCCTGACAGACGGGGATTCAAAATAGGAACCTCCTCGCTGTGAGGAAACAGAGCTAACCACTGCACCACCGTACGCTCAGGATAAAAACAATAGACAGAAAGTTTGAATGAAATATGCAGATTCAGATTTTACCTCCCGAGAGCCACAAAGACGTCCTCAAACTGCAGCGCGTCAGTCACTTTGGTCCACTTGATCCGGATGCGAGCAGGATCTGTGTTCTCGGGCTCATGGTGGAACCTGCAGGGCAGAGTGATGGAGCCGCCGCGATGTGTCACCACTTTACCCGGAGCAGTCTGCACGATCACAGCTCCACTGTCGTCCTCTGTGGCACCAAAGAGGAGGAGAAGGACACTCACATTTAGTAGCATCTGTAGTTTAATAATACATCTCTCCTTTGGTGAGACCAATATGTACTTTAAATACTTTTTGCAAATACCCCTGAACCCCACAGTGACTGATACTATCAGCTGACTCAGGGTTTCTGTCCCCTAATGGTCCCAACATCCAGCACATCAACAGAGAGGGATGTTTTAGGCCGCTTACTCTTTCCTCCAAAGCAAACCTGTTACTACCCAAACAAACCTCTGCCCAGAGCAATTCACTGAAACATCTGAGTTTGGGGTGATTAAAAAGATTCTTGAAATGGTGTACAAGAATCTGGTAGAAAGTATTTTGTCTAACATGGTCGCATGGTACGGGAATTTAGGTGTTAAATGTAAAAGCAAACTGACAAGAGAGGTCACAGATTGCCACTTTGTGACAGGCATGTACTGAAGGACATAAAAAGTGACCCTTCTCATCCACTGCACTCCCCGTTCGAAGTGCTTCCATCAGGTCAGCGATTCAGAGCCACAGAAAATGTTCAGAAAAAATAATTTGTACCAAATGCAATAAAATGATTAAATTCATAAAGGAAAAACGACCCCCTCAACTCTAACTGCACATTGTTTTATGAATTTACTGTTTAACATAACTTTATGAAATGTTTTAAAACTCTGTAATTTATTATACAAATTATTATTTTAAATTCACAAACCATGCTGACTGTGATGTTGTCAAGGACTCCAGGCGCTCTCCTGGTTTCCTGCTGTGCTTGAATGTTGTCTTGTTTGTCAGAATGTTTTTTTTCTGTCTTGTTCTTGTGAAGCCGAAGACAATTTTCCACTTTGTGGACAAATAAAGTTCTATTCTATTCTACCTCGATGCTAACGGTCACCACAGGATTCTTTTCCATCTGAGGTTTTGGCAGTTTATTTAAAGTCACTGTTTGTTTTCCTGCGGAGGTCATGGTTCTCTGCAAACAGTGGATTGTTCCCTCTGGGTGGGGAGTGAGTCTTTGTTCTTAAGTATCTTAAGGTCTTAATCACAGTGAGGGTAAGATGGACCCAGAGACTGACAAGACGGACTGGTTCAGCGTTTGCAGGCGTTTAAATCAAATCATCATGGAGAAGAGGGAGCTGAGCCTGAAGGAAAAGCTTTCCATTTACCTGTCGGTCTTCGTTCCAACTCTCACCTGGTGGTCATGAACTTTGAGTAGTGACTGAAAGAATAAGATCGCCGATACAAGCGGCTGAAATGAGTTTCCTCTGGAGGAGCCTTAGAGAGAGGGGGACGAGGTTAGACATTCAGGGGGAGCTACTCCTTCACATCTAAAGGAGTCAGTTGAAGTGGTTCAGGTGTGATCAGGTTCCTCATTTGGAGGTTTTCAGGGTACATCCAACTGGGAGGAGCCCCGTGGTAGACCCAACTTCGCTGGAGGGATTATATATCATGTCTAGCCTGAGAACGCCTCAGGATCCCCAAGGAGGATCTGGAAAACATTGCTGGGGAGAGGGAAGTCTGGGGGCGACTTGTTTGTCCTGCTGCCACGGCGACCTGACCCCAGATGTGGATGGATGTTTGTTCCCTGTATGTGCGTGGGAGCGGTGTGTGTGTGTACAGGGTTTCCTTTGTGAAGTGTTAAATTAAAAACATTTATATAGCATCTGAAAAAAGGTTTTTTCTGTGTTGCCGTGTCAAGATAAAGACACCGACAATTATCCCTGGCAGCCTGCAATTAGTGCTGTCACCACTCCCTGCTGTCTGCAGAGGTGTTTACCGCGAGCCGACAAGAAGCGAGACGTGTTTAATGAAAAGCACTGATAGCAGCGCTGCAGCTAACTGACGTCAAATAAATCCACATTCTCATTGTATCACAGAGCTCTCAGGTTACAGAGACACCTGGAAGAGGTGAGAGAAGTTAACAACAAGCTTCACAGTTTGCCTCCTCTCAATCTTGTTATCGGACAGACCGGTGGCTCATACAGGTTTTTCAGAGTCCCTGTTCATGGTCTACACACAGGCAGCTTTAAGTTAGAGCAAACAAGAGCTCATTAAACCTGAAGCCAACCCCTCCTGAAAGACAGAACACAAACAATAATGTGATTTACTAAAAAAGAATCACAGACTTCTCCAGGTCCAGATGTTTCTCTTCAGGCGTCCTAGAACCAGTTTAGAGGATCCTTTGAGGGTCCAGCTTCAGAGGAGGTACTCTCCCAGCTCGGGATGTTAATGATTCATCGTTAATCGATTAATAACCGATTGAAAATGGGTATTGTAACCCACAATCTGTTTACAGTTTTACCTGCAGTCACATGTAATACCATTTTATACCAAAAGAGGGCGTCCGTCAGATTTGCAACTCAGAAAAACTGCTGTTATTAGACTAAAGGAAGAAGCCGTATGGAGCAAAGTGAGGCTGAAATGCAGCGGTCAGCAGAGGGAGCTGTCTGTGCACAAGACTCTGGCCCTGATCCCGTAGATGTGTTCATCTGGCTAAATAAAACCCATCAGGTCGTACACAGTGAGTGGAGTATTTTATGAGCTCACAACTCACTCCTGAATGTGCAGATAGATATTTTAATTTGCCTACAAAACAGAAGGTTTTATTTCACTTTAACACAAAACTTTATGTGGATTTTAAAAAGGAGTTTCATCTGGTCAGCCTTGTTAGAAACAGCAGTAGCGCCCGACGGTATTGTTTTGTTAGCAGCGCCGTGAAATAAGGACAGTCATACATTTTAAAGAGAGAGAGCCTTGATGTTTTATTAATTCAAACTGATTGTATTTAATGAATTAATGTTTAAAGTAACTACTGTGCTGCTATAATGGTTTCAATAAAACATAAACTGAGCAACAGTTCATATTGAGCAAACAATATGATCCTGTCCTACATCTGGTCCACTGTCTGATCCTGTCCTACATCTGGTCCACTGTCTGATCCTGTCCTACATCTGGTCCACTGTCTGATCCTGTCCTACATCTGGTCCACTGTCTGATCCTGTCCCACATCTGGTCCACTGTCTGATCCTGTCCCACATCTGGTCCACTGTCTGATCCTGTCCCACATCTGGTCCACTGTCTGATCCTGTCCTACATCTGGTCCACTGTCTGATCCTGTCCCACATCTGGTCCACTGTCTGATCCTGTCCTACATCTGGTCCACTATATGATCCTGTCCCACATCTGGTCCACTATATGATCCTGTCCCACATCTGGTCTACTCTATGATCCTGTCCCACATCTGGTCCACTATATGAGCCTGTCCCACATCTGGTCCACTGTCTGATCCTGTCCCACATCTGGTCCACTATATGATCCTGTCCCACATCTGGTCTACTGTCTGATCCTGTCCCACATCTGGTCTACTCTATGATCCTGTCCCACATCTGGTCCACTGTCTGATCCTGTCCCACATCTGGTCCACTGTCTGATCCTGTCCCACATCTGGTCCACTGTCTGATCCTGTCCCACATCTGGTCCACTATATGATCCTGTCCCACATCTGGTCCACTGTCTGATCCTGTCCCACATCTGGTCTACTCTATGATCCTGTCCCACATCTGGTCCACTATATGATCCTGTCCCACATCTGGTCCACTGTCTGATCCTGTCCCACATCTGGTCTACTATCTGATCCTGTCCCACATCTGGTCCACTGTCTGATCCTGTCCCACAACTGGTCTACTATATGATCCTGTCCCACATCTGGTCCACTATCCGATCCTGTCCCACATCTGGTCCACTATATGATCCTGTCCCACATCTGGTCCACTATCCGATCCTGTCCGACATCTGGTCCACTATATGATCCTGTCCCACATCTGGTCTACTCTATGATCCAGTTCTGTAAGAATCAGGAGAGGAGAAGGTTTCCTTACCGAGCACGTGCACTACCTTCCTCCTTCCCTTCTCGTCTGCAGGCAGAGAGGTCACAGAGAGGGCCCACGTCAGGATGAAGACCACAGAAAACCTCTTCCCAAAGGCCACGTCCCGCAGCTGCTTTGAGGACTGCAGGAAGGGAGGAGGGAGAGTGGAGTTATCGCTGGTTTACCCAAAAAGACTGTAGGCAGTATCGTTCAGAGAGGAAGGACAACATGAGGTCTCTGTTTCACCTGAAGTGTTAAAACCATCATCACACAGACGAGGAGAAACTGAACGGATCCATGCTCACACTACAAGATGTGACAATAATGACCCATCACAGAATACAGGACGTTACTAAGATTATAACGCCCCGCAGAGGAACGACCACATCACATGACCTCAGGTTAACGTCGCAGCTGGAGGTTAAATTTATGATTTTAATGTTTTGAGCAGAGAGGGAAAAACATTTTTAAACAGTTTGCGTGAAGAAATGTCTGAAGAGACGAGGACAACATGGATCGAGCTGTCAGATATGTATCGCCATGACTACTGTCCACTTATCACTGCCCTCCCTCGCTCTTTCTCTCGTGGTTATTGTAGTGACACCAGACTAAATTGTCAAACATGTGTAATAAATCTGGAACATCCCTGACGATCTCCGAGCAGATCGAGGATGTTAAGATTGGATCTTTATAAGACTCTAAAAAATAATCTGGTTCAGAGCGACCTCGAGTTTGGAACACCACTGTGATTATCGGGAATCGGTCTGATGATCCTGCAGTCTGAGCCAGGCTTAAAGACTTTATGACAGTTTCAACCTCAGAATCACAACTTTGAGTTCACTCAATGTAACTCATGTAACAGAGTTCATCCCATGCAGCTTGTGCAGAGTCCAGCCCCGCCCCCCTTTGCATGTTGCCTTCAAGTCCTGCTGAAAGCCCAAATGTTGGGTCTCTGTGAGCCGGACCGAGCGTAGCAGGAAACTGAATTATTCCAACATCCTCATAAGATAAGGTTAGCAACCTGTGCTGTGTTTGATTTCAGAGTGCCAGCTGTGGAGCTCACAGTCACAGCATGAAAGGAGGAGATAGTCCTCACAGGATCCAGTCAAGACTTTAAGCTTGTTTGGAACAGCCAAGGACGAGAAAGTTTCACTCAGACAAAGAAATATATCTGGACATGAACTTTAAAAGAATACAATATATGTTGTGTTTTGTTCAAAATCTGTTGATGTACATATAAGAAGGCAAAGAGACTAAATCAATTCTTGAATCTTCACTATTTGAACAGCCTCCAGGGCCCGTATTCACAAAGCCTCCTAAGTACTAAGAGTTTCTCCTAGTGACTCAATTCTAAGAACATTTTTAGAATCAGGACACTTTCTAAGAATTTCCCCTCAAAGTTAGGACTAGATCCTTGTAAAGATGAAAGTTATTCACAAAGTGTCTTAGCCCTGAAGAGAGCTCCTAAGCTGTAAAACTGTTAGGAGGAGTGAGGAAGACTTTTAACAGGATGAAGAGTTTCTCAAGCTGAGGAGGAAACAGAGAAATGTTCTTCAAACACTGAATGAATATTATTTTTGACTCATAGTAAGGCAGAAATGATTCATGCAGACATTTCAATCCCTCTCTGACTTTATTCAGTACAAAGTAAGACATGTTGAGTTTGTCTACATGTGGTTACCTCCACAGGTGAACCCAATCACTAATTAACTCTTCACCTGCTGATGTAACGATCAACATGTGAAGAAGCTGCTGCACAAGTGGGCATGTGATTTCAAACATTTTGTAGGCTATATACTTATAAAGTATGTCTTACATATGATCACACAGATGCTAATATCATGTCTGACTAGATTCTATATTTGACTTTTTTTCTCCATTTTGTTGGATTAAAGGAAGTACCGTATTGGTCCGAATATAAGACGACCCTGATTATAAGACAACCCCGGTTTTTCAACACTCATATTTAGAAAAAGAAGATTTGCAGACCAGATCTTGTTTTTGTAAAGAACTTTTTTTAAAGAACTTCATTTTATTTGAAAATAACAATATGAAAAACACATTGAATTAAACACCTGTTGTATTAATAATTATAATAATAATTAACATACCGTATTTATCGGTATAGGCCTACGGCACTTTTCAAAACAAAGTGTTTCACAAGGGCGAACTATGTACAGTATGATTCAACATTAAAATTGATTAACAATCAAACAATATTATCAACATGTTTTTAACATTTTGAAATAACAGAGGAAATACAGGCAACATTTTTAACTAAACTACCGCTAAACTAAAACTCTCCAAACTTCTCCTCCCATGTCTCCTATTCCTTACACACGTCCTCCGCCCCGCTGTGTTCTCTCTCACTGTCATCACTCCCCTGCTCCTCCCAGAGCGCGTCATGTGTGTTGACATTTAAAGGGACAGGCAAACAATTAGAGCTGCGCTCTGAATACTAGACCCCGAATATAAGACGACTTGACTTTTTCGGACCTATTTCGATGGGGAAAAAGGCCGTCTTATATTCGGACCAATACAGTATATGCAATTTTTCACACTTAAATGTAGCAGAAAGCTACGAGCATCATAAAGATCGCTAGCATTAGCATGCTAACACAACAATGCAGGGCGAGTTGTTTTGGTTTCATGGTGCTGGTGCTCAAGGGCGACATCTGCTGGATCAAAAAATTGCATATTCTTCCTTTAACCAATCACAGCTTCTGAAAAACTGTGTGGTACCTAGCAACGGGGTCGACGACGCCTCCTCACTAAGATAAAAGTTTCTGTCTCTTCCTCGCTCAGAGTCGCTCTGAGAACGTTCCTAAATCACTCTTAAACTTAAAATCCTTGATAGGAATTTTTCAGCTAAGTTAGGAGCTCTCTGAGAGGATTCTCAGAATGTTTGTGACTAAGGACTCGCCTGGCCGTAAAACAAAGATCCTGTTTAACCCTCCTTGAGCGGGGTTCGCACTACAAGATAATTGGGCTGATTTTGATTCCCTCCTTCCGACCAAAGTCAGCAAAGGCCCAACTATCTGATGTTTCCAGATGTTCCTGAGGTGTGAGGAGTGTTTAGAGGGGTAACTTGTTGATTAGTGGCAACAACGCAAGTGTTTCTACGACATGTCAAAACAAACCACAATCCAACCGACGAGGACAGGAGCTGAACCGTAATGTTTACCGTAATGTTTCCAGTAATGTTTACCATAATGTTTACAGTAATGTTTACCGTAATGTTTACAGCAATGTTTACAATAATGTTTACAGTAATGTTTACAATAATGTTTACCGTAATGTTTACAGCAATGTTTACAATAATGTTTAGAGTAATGTTTAGCGTAATGTTTACAGCAATGTTTACAATAATGTTTACAGTATGTTTACCATAATGTTTACATTAATGTTTAGCGTAATGTTTAGCATAATGTTTGCAGAAATGTTTGCAGTAATGTTTACAGTAATGTTTACAGTGATGTTTACAGTAATGTTTACCGTAATGTTTACAGCAATGTTTACAATAATGTTTACAGTAATGTTTACATAATGTTTACAGTAATGTTAACCATAATGTTTACAGTAATGTAACGTTTACAGTAATGTTTACAGTAATATTTACCATAATGTTTAGAGTAATGTTTACCGTAAAGTTTACAGTAATGTTTACAGTAATGTTCACCGTAATGTTTAGCGTAATGTTTACAGTAATGTTTACCGTAATGTTTACCATAAAGTTTACAGTAATGTTTACAGTAATGTTTACTGTAATGTCTACCGTAATGTTTACAGTAATGTTTACTGTTATGTCTACCGTAATTTTACCGTAAAGTTTACAGTAATGTTTATAGTAATGTTTACAATGTTTACAGTAATGTTTACAGTAATGTTTATAGTAATGTTTACAACAATTTTTACAGTAATGTCTACAGTAATGTTTACCGTAATGTTTACAGTAATGTTTATAGTAATGTTTACAACAATTTTTACAATAATGTCTACAGTAATGTTTACCGTAATGTTTACCACAATGTTTACAGCAATGTTTACCATAATGTTTAGCGTAATGTTTACAGGAATGTTTAGCGTAATGTTTAGCGTAATGTTTACAGTAATGTTTACAGTAAAGTTCACCGTAATGGCTACAGTAATGTTTACCATAATGTTTACCGTAAAGTTTACAGTAATGTTTATAGTAATGTTTACCACAATGTTTACAGTAATGTATAAAGTAACGTTTACCATAATGTTTACAGTAATGTTTACCATAATGTTTAGCATAATGTTTACAGTCATGTTTACAGTAATGTTTACAGTCATGTATACAGTCATGTATACAGTCATGTTTAGCGTAGTTTAGCGTAAAGTTTAGCTTTAGTTTAGCGTAATGTTTAGCGTAATGGATGTACAAGCTAACACCTAGCCACATTTAGCTTGACCATCATGTTTGTTTCCTCTTCACTCTTGTTGTTGGTGATTGAATCTGTCAGTGTGTGGCGTGTTGAGTCGGCCGTCTTGTCGCTCGCCTCACACTGTCACATTTTGTCGTCATGTGTCGGCTCTCTCACACAAATGTGTGTACCTGGCCTTACTCTGATCTCGTGCTGTTTATCTTCACGACTTCTTTCCAGCTTTTGAAGGAACAGCTGATCAGGAAACCACAGCTGTGTGTGTGTGTGTGTGTGTGTGTGTGTGTGTGTGTGTGTGTGTGTGTGTGTGTGTGTGTGTGTGTGTGTGTGTGTGTGTGTGTGTGTGTGTGTGTGTGTGTGTGTGTGTGTGTGTGTGTGTGTGTGTGTGTGTGTGTGTGTGTGTGTTTTCAGCCGCCATGTGACTCAGGTGATGCTGATGTTAATCCATGATAGATTACAGAGGAAGTAAAAACACCACATGCTCGTTACAAAGGTTTTATCATTGGTTTCTGGAGATATTTAATATCAGCATCACTGTCCTGTAAGCTGCTGCTAAAGGTCACCTCTTCTCACAGACAGTAACATCAGTGCTGCACAATGTAACATGTGAACAGGCCCCGATAAAGCAGAGTCACTTAAGCAGCTATGCAGAGAAAAGAACTATAAACAGCCTCCTGCATCATTTCCCTCAAGGTGAGTTCAATGAGCATCCCGGCAGCAGTCATGCAGCAGAAGGAAGTGCAGAGCGGAGCCGTGTGAACGGAGCATAGATGGTAACTTACCATGGCTGTAACACCAGGATCACAGCCCGGCTCAATCAGATGTGTCGCTGTGTGCCGTTTAACTTCTTAGCCAGGCTAAACGTTGCTCTGCAGCAGCAGCAGCAGCACTCGCCTCTCTCCCTCCCTCTCTGCTTCCAATCCCATTGCTGATCTCTCACACTGCAGGGGGAACCCATCGGTGTTTGTGGGACCTGCAGTCCTCAGATGACGCAGCACAGAAAAGGATGTGCAGACTGTGCAGCAGCAGTCTATCACAGCAGCGGTGACTGAACTCCTCTCAGTGTTCTTGAGTTAATCATTACAACCTTTATAAGGTTATCATGATGAACTGTACTCGTAATGATCAGAGGGACGCCTTCATTGGTTCAATAAACACAGACAGATTTCAGTTTGAAAGGTACAATCTGTCGAATGTTCACATTAAAATATACTAATGAATTCAAAATGGAATAAACCCATGTTGTATATATTTGTTGTTGAGTACTTATATGATCTCAAATATTTCCAACAGTTCTGAAAGCCAGAGAAATCCTTCATGACAGACACGACATGTTTATCGTTGCCATGGAAACACCAAATGCTACCATGGACTGTAAATATAAAAAGATAGAGCCTGAGTGCATCCCCCCGTCTGTTCCTGCAGGGGTCGCTGGAGTCCCATCGATGGCGGTCTCCATGCTGGAAATGCTGTCTCAGTCTAACTTTCAGTCAACCTAACGACAGGCTGAGAGCTGGAGCTGAGGCAGGTTTTAAACCTCCTGACAAACTGTTACACCACGCCCACCTGTCAATCAGGTAAGCTACACACCTTATTGTGAATAACTCTTATCCTTCATCAAATCAAAACTGATGAGTCATCAAAATATTCACCCCCTGTACAGTAAATGGTAAATGGACTTGAGCTTATAAAGTGCTTTTCTAGTCTTCCAACTACTCAAAGCGCTTTTACACCACATGTCACATCCACCCAATCACACCCTTTCACACACTGATGGTAGTGATGGTCACTATGTAGTATCATCCATCAGAAGTAACTAATCCCATTCATACACCGCCACCGAAGCTGCGGGAGCAATCAGACCTATTTGTTTTTTTGAACCAGGCTGTAAACATGTTAATCTCTGCTGTAAAAACAGGCTTTTTAGAATGGATGTGTATGTGACTTCCTGTGCTTCTGCAGCCAGACTCTAGTGGACACTCCAGGAATTGCAGGGTTTTAAACTTCAGCACCGGCTTCATTTTTCAACACTGGATGTTGCTGCTTGGATGTTACATCAAAGTTTACAGATGAGGACATGATTTTTCCTTGTGCAGCTCATCCCTTGACGTTTGTGGATTTCTTTTTATTGCTGTGGAAATCAGCTGCAAGAAAACTTTCATGAGTTTCTTTTGTTAATCCTTGTTCTTTCTGCCCTCCACCTGTTAACCAATCGGATGAACAGCATCTTTGAAATGTCTTAAATGAAGTGCATTAACAACACTACAGTACGGCCTCCTGGTTCAGTCTCTTTGAGATCTTTATATGAAAGCACAGAAAGAAACACTGCGCTGATGTTATTGCATATTTACTGCTGAGATTCAAGTTGACTAGTCAGGTCTTTAGAATGAGGAGGTGGACCTGTCATCTGCACTGCAGCTGCCTGAGTTACTGCAGTCCTGGGTAGCTTCAATGAGAGAGGACTGATCAGGTCCTCCCTGAACTGCACACCTCTCTGCATGAGAGACAGAGCGAGGAGGAAGAGAGGGAAACATCCTGGGCTGTTGATGTGAGACTTTAGCTTTCAGACTTTAGCCACCAACATAGAGCTGTCATGAGAATATCTTTTCAATTTCTAGACTTACTAAAAATACAATAATAGATTGGCCAATGCAGAGGAATTCAGAGTTCAGGTACTTCAGAGTGGAATAACCTCCCATCATGCAGCCGCTAGAACAAGTATCACCCTCCAGGCAACGCTCTTTAAATATTGATGCAGCAGTGAGGATCTTTAAAGATTACCTGATCGCCTGGGAGGGGGAACATCTTCTCAAATAAAATGCACAACAAATGAACCGACAACGACCACAGGCTAGAGATTGGCAGTGATTCAGGGGGCCTGCTGTCGGAGAGGTTTTAGAGCCCAGTTTGCAAAGTGAGATGAAGAAAAGAAGACCAGGGCGGCTGTGGCTCAGTTGGTAGAGTCGTCGCCTCTCAACCAGAAGGTCAAGGGTTTGATCCCCAGCTAAGCAACATGTCCATTGTGTCCTTGGGCAAGACACTTAACCCTGAATTGCTCCTGCTGCTTCAGTGGTGGTGTATGAATGGGATTAGTTACTTCTGATGGATGATACTACATAGCAATCATCAGTGTGTGAAAGGGTGTGAATGGGTGGGTGTGACATGCAGTGTAAAAGCACTTTGAGTAGTCAGAAGACTAGAAAAGCACTATGCAGTATAAGCTCAAGTCCATTACCGTTTGTGCATTGGTGCATAAAAGAGTCCTTTGCAGACATGTTTTACTCTGTCCCTGGAGAGGCATGGATGAGCAGCGGTGGGTTATGCCAGCAAAAAAATCAATACAGCTATTTGTGTAGCGTTCCCCTGCCAGCTGAGGTCTGCAGACATTTCTACTTCAACATGAATGTGCAACTAAACGAGGGATGAGTCAGTGAAATGAGACTCACTCATGTCTGAAACTCTGCTACAGAGAATCATTCTTCAGACATTACATCACATCATACCTCAGGAGGGGTTCATTTTTTCATTTTTCACTAGCTATAAAAAAGGTAGTGGTGATTAGCCATTCATCAAACACACTTCCATTCATCCTGATGCTCCTATTTGATCACCAAGAATCGAGCAGACCAGCAGAGTGTTTGAACATGACTGACTGATGAATGACTGTAAATGCTGCAGGTGTCGGGTAACGTTTGTTTTACATTTTCATGCACACTGTTTAAAGAGAGAGAGACCTGTTAACACGAGATGAGCTAACAGAAAGAAGCTACCACTCAGTCCACTCAGTCCACTCGAGTACGAGCCAAACGTTTTCTCCAAGCTGCTTTAAGGAGGAGTTTGTGTTCAACGGAGTGAGACTGCAAACCATCAGAATGACCTGACAAAGTAGAAGGAAACCCTCGTTCACAAATGGAGGTCGGTGCTCGTCCCTCCCAGAGAGTGGGAGACTTTCTTAACCCACTGCTGGGAGAGACCCTCAACATGGTTCAACCTGATGGACTTAAAGGCTTTACATGTGATTTTTCACACTTAAATATAAAATAAATCAAGTATATACTCTGAAAATAACTCTGTGAGTCATGACTGTCTACAATGGGTGTAACACCCGAGTCCCACTGTCTGTGATGTTTTCAGAGTTTTCAGAGTCCTATCTTCAGTTTGTTTACATCGCCAGGACGGCCGGCTGACTCCTCCCCTCACGTATAAAAGTTGTTTAATTGAGGGACTAGAGAAAAGAAGAATAACATACTGTACTCACTGCTTAACTGTGTTTCTAGATCACGCTCATTTCAGGTAAATTTACATGCAGTGTGAAGATACCAGCATAATAAAGATCACTAGCATTAGCATGCTAACACAACAATGCAGAGAGAGTTGTTTTGGTTTCATGCTGGAGCTCAAGGGCAAAAAATTGCGTATAAAGCCTTTAAAGAAGAATAACGGCTCTCATGTTTTTGTAGTGATGTTCATGTTGTATTTTAAATGTGATCACACTTTGGATGGGATGTTACATCAGAGATCCAGTTCTTATTCCTTCCTTTACTGAAAGCATTGTCTCAAACGACCCACTCACTGTTAACCAGCTCCTCTTCTCTTTCTGCATTGTGAACTGTGTTTTTTTTCTCCTCAGCTCTGTGGTTTCAAAGTCACAGCCGAGCAGACATCTGCAGCAGAGCTTCCCCCCTGCGACTGCCATGGTGGGATTACAGAGCTGTTTGCAGTCAACTGTCAAACACACAGAATGCACCGCTACAGTATGTGGAAGCAGGGCCGACGCCACACTTCATCATGGGGGGGATTCAATTAGTCTGCCTTCTTCTGTCTGTTGGCCTGTTGCTCAGCAGTATGAGAGGTAATAACTGAATGGACGAGAGAGAGAGGTATTTCTGTATAGAAAACAGCCTGCTCATACACACGACTGCATATCCTCCTTTATATTACTGAACAGAGTTGGCAGAAGACTTCTCGTATTGTCAGATACTTTACAATCCTTTGACAGGCGCACTGAAAGTCCTCGCAGCAACCGACAATAGTCGTCTTCTAATTGAGTGTAGAAGCCTCTTACAGCTGCCCACTCATCATTTCATTCTGTTTGTTTATGCAAAGAGAAAAACTTCATTTGGAGAGAATAAGACGATGTGAGCTGTGGCAGACGATGTGAGCTATGGCAGACTCTGCGGCTCGCTGCCCACACAGAGCGAGCACGCCGCTGCATCACTCAGCACGGGGGGACACAAAGAAAAACACAAAGAGAATCAGACGCCATGAAACGCTCAGCTTCTGAAGATGAGTCAGGACGAGGGTAGCAGAGGCTTGTTTTGTTTCACTGCTTTAAAACCCCACAGAGGAAAGCTGTCGCTCTCTAACGGAGAGAGAGGGCGCCGGCAGCAGACGGCGGGCGCTGCGTGTTCTTCACAGTGACAGGATGATAGCAGCTGCTGTTGAAGACATATTACACATTACACCTTCTGCAGCACACTTCCTCTCCACTCTGCTCTCAGTAATGATCTGTTGTGGCACCAAGGTGTCGAGGGAGATTTGGGATCCACGCTTTGCCAGATCAGGTCTACCTTGAACTGACACCTGAACCACATGTAGGGGTCGCCATCCTGACAGCTGTTACAGTTTTATAACACAATGAGACATCTACGTCAGGTGAATAATGAATAATGTCAGCTCATAAACAATCTGCAGGATAAAATATGCTGTGTTTCAAAAACCTGACACAACCCTCCTGACCCGGATGTGTTGATGTTCAGGTGTCTGACTTCCTGTCCTGCTCGATCTGCTCTGTGGTGAAGCGATGCTCCGTGCTTTGACATCCTGCAGAAACAGAAGCCTTGTGTATCTGCTACGGATCACCCGTCAGGTCAATTTGCCCTGTACAACATCAGGAAGATCAACTCCTGGAACAGGCTCTTGTTAGCTATGACCACTAACTGTCAGGTCGTCCTACATGCTTTATCACACCCCTGCAGATGATTAGAAACGTAGCAGCCGCTCATATCAAATTTAAAACTCTGCTGCTCACTTACAAAACAGCCACAGAAACATCTCCTCCTTACCTAAACTCTCTGATCCAGGTCTACACTCCCTCCCGCCCACTACGCTCTGCCAATGAAAGGCGTCTGATCCAAACTTCACAACAGGGTCTTAAGTCTCTGACTAGACTCTTCTCCTCTGTCGCCGCCCGGTGGTGGAATGAACTTCCAAACGCCATTGGATCTGCAGAGTCCTTCTGCACCTTTAAGAAAAAGCTAAAGACCCAGCTCTTTATGAACACCTACGGCCTTCATGATGATGATGATGATGATGGTGATGATGATGATGTCAGCACCTGTGCTCTGCCTCTGATCAGTTCCTGTCAGCACCTCTGGTTACTTCTGATGTTTAAGCTTTAAGCTGTTTGTTTGTACTTCCTGTCGATGTGTCCTCCTCTCTAGATCTTTGCTTCTGTTATTCTGACTCTGTGATGTTCGTCACTTTGGATAAAGTGTTTGATGGTAGTTTTCAGGCCTTACCACAAAAGCAAAGCACACAAGTGTAAGAGAAATATATTAAATCAGTCTAAAGCCCACAGTCCTGACAGAACACGGTGCTTCCATTTAGTATGCATCATAAGCTTATTGTACCTGGCTTTAAAAAGACAACAAGTCATCAAACTGAATAAACATAAGATGCACAACCTTTGACCTTCTGTCCAATTCATTATGTAACCACTCATTAGGAATTCATTCAGGAAGAAGATGCAGCCGACAGTCACAGCAGTCAAAAAGGAACGTCAGCAATAAATTGACAGACGAAGTCACTAAAGGACAAATCTTCTTGCTACTTATTTATTTCATATATTTATATTTCATCCATGAAAATGATTTTCTGTAGACAAAGTGGGCAGCTCGAGACCGCTAAGTATCTACAAAGTGGAAAAATGAAAGTATATCTGTACACTCAGATGATGCAGCTAAAACATTTACAGCTCATCTACTGTGTCCCCTCATGGTCACAGGCAAGTCCATCTGTGACAAAACCCCTAGAGAGGTTATACAATTGTGCACTAACAATCAGCCCATTAGGTCTCACCATTGTTATGTCGTGAAAGACATAAACATGCTAAGTTCCAACAACTACATTATATTTGCAATATAAGTGTTTGCATGGCCAGGCCCCTCTGGTCCGCTGTGACATGGTGCGACCCTTACCATATCATACCGAAGGACCTGCTTTGGCCAGACAACCTGCTGTAAAGGGAGCTAACTCATAGATAATAGTTCCTCCCAAACTTAAGACAAACCAGAGTTGCCAATATTTTAAGATGAAATTGAAAGACTTCCTTTAGAATAACCAATACCCTACCTCTCGTTACGCAGCAGGTCCTTTTAGCATGATAAACTAGCCTACCTCTCATTACGCAGCAGGTCCTGTTAGCATGATGAACTAGCCTACCTGTAGGTACAAAGCAGGGCCCTTTCCGAATTGTCACAGTTCAGTATGCAGTACGTACTATTCAGTATGGAGTTTCAGTATACTTCAGTTTCAGTATACTGAACTTTCATGGTCATTCAGTATGCATCCGCACAGTATACTGAACATTTCTGTATGGATACTAACTTCCGGATTTCATGCAGTATGGATCGGCGTGCTTTCAGGAAATGCATTGTGTTTTACCACCCACAATGCTGTGCGAAATGAAATGTAAATTGGCACATCATGTCCCCCTCCAAATCAAAACAAACGAGCGTGGATTAATATAATACATTTTTAATTTAGAGTTAAAGTCCCGACTGAAATCGCTAATTTAAATTAACAACAGAAAATATAACAAATATCTCTATTTAAATAGACTTTATTGGTTTATTTTACGTTATCCTGTATATTACTGTCTGTCATTTGTACTTTTCTTTATGTACTGTATGTTATTTAGTTATTTAATCTGTCTTTCACTGGTGATATTGTTTTTTGTTTACCTGACTGTATATGCGCATTACTCTTCTTGAATAAAGCTTAATTTTTTTTTTTTAAAACAGGTGAATTCGGCCGGTTCGGGAAACGTAAATGACGTCACTTCCATACTGAATGAATCAGATGAAGTAGGCACAAATATCTGCCTACTGTGTGTGCATACTGAATAGTAGGTACTAACAGTATGCAGCACAGATAGTACGTACTGCATACTGCCTACTACCTACTGAAAGATTGAGTATGTACTTGGCAATTGGGATACGGCCCAGGTCCTGTTAGCATGATAAACTAGCCTACCTGTAGGTACGCAGCAGGTCCTGTTAGCATGATAAGCTAGCCTACCTGACGTTACACAGCAGCTCCTGTTAGCAAGATAAGTTAGCCTACCTGTCGTTTCACAGCAGGTCCTGTTAGCATGATAAACTAGCCTACCTGCAGTTACGCAGCAGGTCCTGTTAGCATGATAAGCTTGCCTACCTGACGTTACGCAGCAGGTTCTGTTAGCAAGATAAGCTAGCCTACCTGACGTTACACAGCAGGTCCTGTTAGCATGATAAGCTAGCCTACCTGATGTTACACAGCAGGTCCTGTTAGCAAGATAAGCTAGCCTACCTGACGTTACACAGCAGGTCCTGTTAGCATGATAAGCTAGCCTACCTGACGTAACACAGCAGGTCCTGTTTGCATGATAAGCTAGCCTACCTGACGTTACACAGCAGGTCCTGTTAGCAACAGCTGCAACGAGCGATTGGTTGACACATGAACGACAAATTGTTGACCTTTGACCAGTGGTTAAGGAGGGGGTTATGTCATGATTTGGTCTTTCCTAGTTTTGTGTTTCAGTGTTTGTATTCCTTGGCATTTTTGTTCAATTAAATATTTTTGCTTTTCCTGCACTTGGGTCCACCTCCCTTGTTTTACACACCGCACCGTAACAGAATGAACTGACCAGAACAATGGACCCAGCGGGAATGGATCCTTTTTCAAAGGTGGATATTTTTCAGTACCTTTTTCGTTTGTCCCAAAGCACTGCCAGCTATTGCTGGCTATTTTTCCTGGAACCCGTGGAGGCCAAAGAAGAAGGACTGGAAACCACGGAACCCGTTGGCCTCTCCTTCCTCCACTGCCCAGCTCCCCAGAGTCTCTGCCTCGACCCGAACCTCAACCCAGGCCTCAGCTCAGGCCTCAGCTCAAGCCTCAGTTCAAGCCTCAGCTCAAGCCTCAGAGCACTGCTAGGCCCGAGCAGTCTCCTTGGACTGGAACTCGACTGGCTATTTTTAATGGAACCCGGGGAGGCCAAAGAAGAAGGACTGGAGGCCGCGGGGCCCGTCATCCTCTCCTTCCTCCGCTGCCCAGCACCCCAGAGTCTCTGCCTCAACCCGAACCTCAACCCAGGCCTCAGCCCAGGCCTCAAACCAGGCCCCAGCTCAAGCCTCAGCCTCCCTGTGCCTCGGAGCCACGGCCTTCCTGTGTTCCAGCAGAGCGCTGTCTGCCACCGGTTGTGGCAGAGCACCGTCTGCCTCCTGTTCCTGTTCCCGCAGAGTGCCGTCTGCCTCCTGTTCCTGTTCCCGCAGAGTGCCGTCTGCCTCCTGTTCCTGTTCCCGCAGAGTGCCGTCTGCCTCCTGTTCCTGTTCCAGCAGTGCGCTGTCTGCCACCAGTTACGGCAGGGGGCTGTCCGCTCCCTATTCCTGTTCCAGCAGAGCACAGTAAAGAGTCCATCGGCATTAACTCATCCATTCATACACATTCACACACTGATGGTAGAGGCTGCTGAGTAAAGAGTCCATCGGCATTAACTCATCCACTCATACACATTCACACACTGATGGTAGAGGCTGCTGAGTAAAGAGTCCATCGGCATTAACTCATCCACTCATACACATTCACACACTGATGGTAGAGGCTGCTGTGTAAAGAGTCCATCGGTATTAACTCATCCACTCATACACATTCACACACTGATGGTAGAGGCTGCTGTGTAAAGAGTCCATCGGTATTAACTCATCCACTCATACACATTCACACACTGATGGTAGAGGCTGCTGTGTAAAGAGTCCATTGGTATTAACTCATCCACATTCACACACTGATGGTAGAGGCTGCTGAGTAAAGAGACCATCAGTATTAACTCATCCATTCATACACATTCACACACTGATGGTAGAGGCTGCTGAGTAAAGAGTCCATCAGTATTAACTCATCCATTCATACACATTCATACACTGATGGTAGAGGCTGCTGTGTAAAGAGTCCATCAGTATTAACTCATCCATTCATACACATTCATACACTGATGGTAGAGGCTGCTGTGAAACCCCCTCCCTTCAGGTTGAGACGACCGACTCTACCAACTGAGCCACAGCCGCCCCATCTACAAAGCCAATAGTGACCACATGTGACTGAATAAATGATCACTTTTATTTGCCTACATGAGTATCTAACCATCCCATCCCTTTAAGATCTTTCTCTAAGAGCCAACGAGCTCAAAGTCTCAGTCATGAGATTCATCCTCTGGGCACCTTGAAAGTCTGCACATGCTTTATTGAAATCCAAGACATCGTTTTTTTATTTCAGTCTGGGTTAAAAACAGGGCTGGATCAACAAATTGTATGACTCACATGTAATGCCTTTATTTTGAGCCAGTCCACAAACATGGCAACAACATTACACAGATTTTTCACTGAATGCATGACTTAAGGAAACGAACATTTTAAAGTGCTAAACCCAAAGACCCTCAGCAAAATAACTTTGTGTTTTGGCATTTAGAAATATGGCAGCATGTCATAAGTCGTCAGATTCCCTCTAAAGGTCGGAGAAGATGAAGAAGGATTACTTGTCTTTGTACTTGGTGTCTTTCTCCTCGCTGTTTGGCAAACCTGTCTGCCCCGGGAAGGGGGCGATCTTCAGGAAGAAATACTGGTTACTGTGAACTCGACAGGCCACCAGGATGGGAGTGGCAGCGTAGAGCAGGTTGAACACCAGCACAGACCAGAAAGTCTCGCTCGGGATACGATATGGAGCGGTGGTACGAGGGTGGAGGGATCCTCCAATGTGGGCCCACTGGCACTGCAGGGAGATACAGAGAAGCAGGCAGGAATGAGTCAGTGTTTTATTCACAATTATTGTATATGTCACCTGTCAGCATCCATTCTTTCACTGTTTGTTTTTCAGAGTTTAGGGCGTTTCTGACTGGAGGGACGATGGAGCGATTCCAAACTCTTATGACGGCCCTGGTCTGGTACTGTTGTTGTTGTTGTTTTGTGTTTCAGGATTTGGCGTCATCTGGTGGTTGGTGTTGACATGCCTGCTGGTTGTTGGGAGACCCGCCCACCTACCTGGTGATTGCAGATAGGCTTCACCTAAGTGGCAGGGCATATAAGCCAGGCGGCCACAGCTTTCTGGCTCTCTTCCTTTGGACAGTCTCGACTAATTACCTTCTGCCATTGTATTTTTGTGTTGTTTTGGAATAAACTGGATCTCAGAAGCACGTTGACTGTGTGAACCTCCATTGAATGTTAGGGCCTACACGAGCTGGTCATAACACTCTTGATGATGATCTGTTGAGATGCATCAGTCTGTTACACTAGCCAGGCTACAATAGCCAGGTAATTCTCCCCAAATACTGTATAATCAAGCTGAACATGCAACTTGAGGGCCCCCTAGTGGCTGCAAGGGGCCTCATGCATCCCCATAGTCTGCATATCACTAGAACTGTCTCTGTTGTTTGGATATGTATACTCAGAATAATAGCAGAAGAATTTGATACCTCATCGCTTCTTTCACAGACACTAGAGAGGGGTCACCTTAGAGTTACCTTTGGTCTCTCTTCCCGGTCATGAATCTACTTACAGAAACATTTCCTTAAAGGATAAGATGAAGCAGTCCAGAAGAGAAACCTGCAATCTCTTAAAATCAGCTAAATGATTATATATTCAGCGTTCCCCTCGTGGTGTCTTGTTCCTTTCTTTCTGTCAGATAAATCAGGGAGAAACTACAGCTGGTTTATTTATCACACAAAATGTTCTTCAAAGGATAAAAGTGCTCCAGGTTACAATAAGAAGGATGAAGCCCTGTTAGTTCTGAACTCAAACTGCTGATGAGAGCTAGAATCACTCAGAGACAGAAAAGAATTTCATTCAGTGCCCCCCCGTCAGGGCCCCCCGTGTCTTCACCCCCATCCCTGTCAGAATTCAGATTTAACTTCTTCTCGTTTGGTGTTTTCAGACTGAACTGATCTGGAGACTATTTGAAAAAGGAACTACCCACTAGAGAGTTCCCTGAGAAATACAAACCATGGGGACTTTTTTTTCTGTCGCCATGGTGACAGCTGATATGAACCTTAGAGCGACCTAAGCCGGCCGACAGTTGCTAGAGCAACGTTACAAACGCAACACAACTGACAATATGGAGAACGCCGTGGCGGTAGCTGTGTGTGATTGAGTTTATGAATATTACTGAGTTTGAATGCCAGGAAATACTCTCAAAGATTTTTATATTCTGCTTTGAAGAGTCCAAACCAGGTTGTATTTCCTCTGTCGCATAAGCACTCAATAATGACTGGACTCATAGTACCTGCGGAGTAGAATCATTGAAGAGAGGGAGGGTTCCAACAGTTCAACAATGAAAAAGTTCCTGCAGTTCGAAAACACTTCTGGTGTTTAGAGCTTTGTATGCTCCTGTGTATATCACTAAGCTCCTGAAGGCGTACAACCCCAGCAGGACCCTGAGGTCCTCTGATCAGGGTCTGCTGGTTGTTCCTAACACAAGATTCAAACTAGAGGAAAGTAGCTAAAGACCCCTCTGTTCAGACTCTGTTTGATCTGTCTGTGTTTCATTTCATTTAACTGTCTTTTTTTACTGTGAAGCACAGTAAGGTGCTGAATAATTATACTTTACTCTTTAACTTGTTTACTTTATGCAACAACAGGTTCACTTATTGACTGTTAGCCTTCATTACCTGGATCATGGCTCCAGCGAAGAACATGGTCCAGTCTGACATCCATGTGCACCCAGGCTTGAGGAGACCGTAAGAAAAGGCACCCAACAGAGGCAGTCCATAGAAAAACAAGTGCAGCATCTACGGAGACAAATGCAACAGCAGTTTAGTCTAAAGTACTGTTTCATATGAATATAGGGTTAATATGTAACTCTGACCCCTAGTGTTTAAAATGGGTACTGCAGTCTAAATTCTAAACATCACAGAGAGCTGTCTCCCCCCCTCCTCTCTAGAGTAGATGCTCACACAGGTCACCATGTGGTGGACTCTGAAGCTTCAGTGTTTATCCAGCTCTGCATGGGTCTGTAAACCTTTCTGTGTTCTAACCTCTCTCCATTTTTCAAAAGCATCTCCAATATTGATCCTAGTTTGAGCACGTTTCTGCTCGTGGAGCTTATTAGAAACATGCAGAGGCTTTTTAGGTCGGGTACAATCACTTCTATCTGAACCACTTCTCTTGCCGCTTCCATCGCTGCAACACCTGTTGACCTGATAACTGCGCTCATATCTGACAAACCGAGGGGCGTCCAAAACAGCCGTGTTGGGGTGCCTTAAAACCGTCTACCTTCTCTGGTCCAAACAAATCCAGATCATTCAGGAGCAGAATCTAAAGTTAGAAGGAGACATACTGACTGCTGCATTGTTGTCAGAGAAGCCAGCACTTCAACGTAGCATGTTTCCTTAATGTCTGATCATATAGCAAGGTACCTTTATCATTTCACTCACTACACATCTCACTGATTGGATCTGTTGAATATTTTCATTGGACAAGTGACAGTGTTGCCCTCTTCTATTGGTGAGTTCTAGTGAATGTTCAGTAAACAGGCATTGTGGATCCACAGCAACGTAAAGAAAGACTTCCCCTCCATCACTGTCAGTCAGTGTTTGTGTTGGCCCCTGACCAACATCATTAATGCAGTACATCTTTAAACTACTCTGCATACTGCACTTCCTCTACTCACACTCTAAAGCAGGAGAGCGCTGCTTCAAATAAGTCGATACAAACACTCTCAGAAAAATCAAAGTTGACACTGGTGGACACTCAAGGAACTGCAGGATCTAAAACTTCAGCATTGGCTTCCTCTTTCCACACTGGAGGTTGCTGCTTGAGTTATATACAGATTAAAACAACTTTACTCTATATTCTATTTCTTGTTGTGTATGTTTGAGATTTATCAAGGCAGATTCATGTGCAACTAGCAGTGCATCATTTTAACATTTCTGTCTGATATATTGTTTATTTAACTCTTTACTCTGTGCTATGGAGGGGACACAGTGCAACAATTAATTCTGAAGTGTGATGAAGTCGAATGAGCTCTCCCAAAGCCTTGGTTTCTCGTATTTGATCCTCAGAGCAGAGCTGGAGTTCTCGACCTTCAACTTCAGATGTTTGGTGCATGAAAGCCCACTCTCTCCCGCTCAAATTAAACCACTGAACACTTCCTTTTCATTTGCCTCTGAGTTCTACATGAATTCTAATGAGTTCAACCCAAGGGCCTGAAAGCCAATCATGTACGCCCTTCAGTCTTTTGTTGAAATGTCTTTTTTAGTGCTGCCGTGGTAATCCTCCACTTATCGTTCATCAGCATTACTGAATAAAGAGGTCAGTCTCTGCAGGAACAGTTTGACCCTGTGCAAAGAAACCGAACCCTGTTTCCCTCATTTACACCCACACACAAGAAGTCCTGATGCTACACAAACACACACACACACACACACAGGCTCGCTGAGACATACTTTCACATGCTGCACACACACACATCCTGCTCCCACCCAGAGAGCTGCTGGAGGAGGGGGGGCTTTGGTAGAGGGATTAGCTTATCAAGTTCTCAGCATGCGGTGCGTCTGTCTGATCAATGACTTGCAATTGTGCCTCGACTTCAGCCTCAACAAGGTCTTTGGATAACCTATCGACAAACTGTATACTCCCAACAAAACAACAAAAACCCTCAGACGTGTAGGGTCACAGTGAGAAAATAAAAGGAGATGAGACGCGCCGCACGCCACAGTAATCACCTCTTATCCATGTTACACAAAGGAAAAAAAGGGAGACAGGGACGCTCTGCCTCTCAACCCCTCGCTCATTGTTGCTGTAATGATGAAAAATGTCTGTGTAATCTACAGGCAGAGAGAGTGGAGGCGATGAGGGCAAGCTTCCAGCACTCTCAGAGTGATATCCATGAGAGCAGGGCTCCATTATGTGGCTGGTTATTTTCAAATGACGCTTCAAACTGCAGACACACGGGCTGAATGTGGCGACACAAAAGAGGAAAAGAGAATCACTCACCATGACTCTGGGGTAGCCCACAGGATCCTTCAGGTAGGGCTCAAAGTGCTTCAGGTAGGCCGAGCAGGCCTCCAGTGGAGAGTCCAGAGCCACCTGTGCAGAAGAAGAGGAAAGTCATAAGCTGTTCTCACTCCTGAAGATATCGAGATGATTTCATGATATATGATATTCTCCTGATCTGGTTGTCATATATGCACCTAACTTTCAGTCAACCTAACGACAGGCTGAGAGCTGGAGCTGAGGCAGGTTTTAAACCTCCTGACAAACTGTTACACCGTGCCCACCTGTCAATCAGGTCAGCTACACGCCTTATTGTGAATAACTCTTATCCTTCATCAAATCAAAACTGATGAGTCATCAAAACATTCACCCCCCGTACAGTGTGTGTCCATCGACACATGAGCTAATCACACCTATTTGTTTTTTTGAACCAGGCTGTAAACATGTTAATCTCTGCTGTAAAAACAGGCTTTTTAGAATGGGTGTGTATGTGACTTCCTGTGCTTCTGCAACCAACCTCTAGTGGACACTCAAGGAACTGCAGGATTTAACACTTCAACATCATTTTTCAACACTGCTTGGTTTCACATGGTTTCATCATGTGAATTGTGCAGCTGAAATAACTCAGCCCTCTCTGTGGATGACATGAGGTCACTCACCAGGCCTCTGAGGACGGTGAAGGCCATGGCGGCGAAGAGCAGCAGCAGCAGGATCATATCCTTCGGACGCCAGATCAGCTTCATGGTCTGAGCGTGCATGGCCTGTTGGGAGAGGTCAACATGAACACAAAGCAGCTGGTTAGTCGAGGTCTTTGGTTTCATTAAAGCTGTGTTGGACGGTACGACTGGGTTTGTTCTCTGTGATAATAAAGATACAGATAGAGCCGATCACACTGCACATTCATGCAACCAAACAAAGAGCAGCTCATCAACAGAAAGAGCGACACATGGCCGACCTTGACAGCTCTCAGGTTCTGGATCATTTTCTTTTTTGCAACATTGTGTTTATTGGGCAATCCAAACATAGTTCATTTCTTACATCATTATTCTTTTTTTTTCTTTTTTTTTATAATGTTATACAAAACAATAATAGAATGCAGAAGAAGAAAACACAATTGTTGTAATAATATCTTAGTTTGCCCTTTTTTTTGGGAATGGAGAAAAATAAAACAACAAAAAACAAGCAACCAACAACAACAAACAAAACAGACCAAAACAAGTGACACACACATCACCAATGACATAACCATGATTTAATTTCAGGTTCTGGATCATTTTCAACCAGCTCACACTAAATCCATTTCAGGGTTACGACTGTTCATGCGTCAGACTTACGTTGTATCCACCGATTAGCGGTCTGTCCTTGGGCCGCCTGAATATTGTAATGGCGCCAATTATAGGCATCAAAAGGAAGAGGAAGTTGATCCAGAAGGCTGGACGAATCTCTGACGCATATTTACCTGAGATAAAGAGAGAGAGAGACTTTCATCTTTTTTGTGTCACAGTCACAGTGAACATGTTGATGTGAGTGGATGATTAATCTGCACGCCAGGCAGAGACGTGCAGCACGGGGGAGTCTATCACAACACGAGAGAGAGAGAACAACACATCGCCTGGAGAGAAGTTTGATCTCCTGACACTTATGTATTCAGTTTGAAAAGACAACAACAGATGCTGCATGTCGGTTTGCTTTGTTCTCTGGGCTGTGGCGGCAGAAGAGGCGTGGGCTGATCTGTGACACTGATGCTACATGGCGGTGCAGATGTTCACTTCATTACAGCTCGTGGTTACAGGGACGGGAACAGAAGATGAGGCTCACCTGCAACTATCCCGGTGATGAACACGCTCATGTTGGCCGACAGAGACCCCGCCCAAAACAAGCCGATGGTTCGGTACGCCTTCCTGGGAGAGACACCAAAAGAGACTCTGCTTTATACAGGTGTAGAGAGAGCAGGTAGGACACTTCTCACACATCCATCATAAACATTATGTGTATTTAAAAACCAGCCCAATGTCTCCCCAGGGTAAGCTAGAGCGTTTAAAATAAGGATTTTCTTTGCATGCTCGCCCCTCGCCCCAGGGAGGCGCTCGCTCTGAACTCATGAACTCACTGGCTGCACTTTATGACTCAGTCTCTCTAGAGGACCTCTGCTAAAAATATTCTTTTATTCAGGCTTTGAGATGAGTTCACCCTCTGAGCCTCAGTGGTGAAACCTCTTACTTCCAGAGACATGAGAGGCCTGAGGCTGCGACGAGCTGGAGGAATTACGATGTGGATGTTTAGATGTGTTACTGCTACACTCAGTGAAACATAAACACAGCCTCCACAGCCTCGTGCAGTGACAAGCTGTTAGACGAGCGACAAGTGTAAATGTTAAAGTTTGGAGGTAAAAGTTAAAGGAAGAATGTGTGACTTTTTGATCCAGTAGATGTCGCCCTTTAGCCCCAGCATGAAACCAAAACAAGCTGCTGTTTGGCCACGCCTCCTCCATACTGAAGCCTCCGCTCTCCTCCAAGAGACACACCTCCAACCCCTCTCCACTAAAGTTCACATGAAGGAGTTTAGCGGCGGACAAAATCAACCTCTGCTCAAGCTGCTACAGAGCCCACTTTTTTCGGGGCTCTGGTTCCTGAAGTGAAATTCCCCGTTTAAATCCTTCGTTGACATTTCCCAAAATCTTTATATCACGAGATTGAAGCTTGTAACCATGGCAACCAGATAACCCAATACTCTTGACAATAAAACATTTAAAATTGCAAAGGTAAGAGACTGTTTACATATTTTTTCTTCCAGAGTCAAAGAACTGCATCCCAGAATGCATTGCAAATGATCCCTCTTCTACTTAAACGTAAATTTAGTCGGCGTTAAAGTGTTCATACTGTTAATATAAGTGTTGTTCTATGGTGCAGTTTGTGTTGTTGAATATATAAATCACATTCACTGCAGCAGAACGAGGTTATTAGCACATTTACTGTTAGCTAACTAGCTAGCCTGCAAGCCAAACTAGTAATTTGCATATGCTGCAGAGGGGCGGGAAACATTGCCATGGTAACAACAAGCTCCACCAATCAGAGACATTGCTGTGACACTCTGTGATGGTGGGTAGTGTAGTTTCCCAGAGATCGTGAATAAACCGTATTGTTCTTAAAGCGAGGTGGATATCATACGTACTCGTGTCTCCTACAGGAGCATAAACCATCGTGTCACACTCAGGTAGCTCGTGGTCACTACCTGTGATGGTTATGACATCATGGCTAATCATCACATCCACTATGAAGGAAATGAACAGGATTTTTTACTTCCTGAACCACACTGTTGAGCTCTACAGCCTGTGTCCTGCATTGTTGTGTTAACATGCTAATGTTAGCGCTCTTTAGTTAGCTCGTAGCTTCACATTGCATGTAAACTGACACAGAATGACCGTGATCTAAAAACTCTTACTAACATCCAAATAATCAGTGAGTATGTTCTTCTTCTTCTCTCTAGTTCTTGACTAAAACAGCTTTTATACACAAGGGGAGGAGCCGGCCGTCCCGTCCATGTAAACACAGCTCTGACAACAACACAGCCAGCGGGACTCGAGCTTCTCCCTCATTGTAGACAGTCATGACTCAGAGGCACATTTACACAGGATAGACTGGATTTATGATTTATATATTTATGTGGAACATTCTTCCTGTTGAATTTAAAGTACCTATCTCTAAGATTTGCTTTATATTTAACCCCAGGCTAACTCATCCTAGCCTCTGATTGGTTGGTTCAGTGGCAGCAGAAAGTTATCTGTTTCCATCTTACTGTGAAAGAGACATCCGAGCCCCACACACTGAACCGCCACATTACATCATTTTTCATGAGGAGGCAGGCGACTGTGATGGAAGATGTGATAAATGAACCCACCTGTCTGTAATCCTGCTGATCATCACCAGGTACATGATAAAATGTGCTATCCCGTCCCAGTAACACATCATAATGGCGTAAGGTGTTCCCAGGTAGGGCTCTCCCTGAAACACAGACATCACACAGACAGCAGCTGGGTTTAATCGTAACGCAAAGATTTGGTTGTCTCTATGGAGCAGCGTTGAACATGTGACGATAAGAAACATACCGTCTTCTGGTAGAACTCCATGAAGCCCGATATAAGGCCGTCATGTTCCAGCGCACTTATCAGGTCGATGATACATGTGAAGGAAAACTCAGCAAAAACTGCAACGAGAAGAAACAGGAGTTAAAAATATGACTGTGTGTTAACGGGTAAACTGGTTAACTGGTTAACTGGTTAACTTGTAAAATGGTTAACGGGTTAACGGATTAACTGGTTAACTGGTAAACTGGTTAACTGGTTAACAGGTTAACAGGTTAACGGGTTAACTGGTTAACGGGTTAACTGGTCCGCATGATTCAGTGTGTGGACTTTGCAGAATGTAATTCTAAAGTGAATCAGTGTGTGGTGACTCGAGCATCTCTCTGCAGATATCAGAGCTTAAAGTGCTGCATCACATCCTGCCTCTGTGTCCTCACACACACACTAACACACACACACATTTTGTCTGTCCTGCGTCTGTGTAATCCTCAGGACATAGCCAGGTTTATCTCTCTCTATCTCTCAGGTGAGATAACTGAGGGATTATGGGTGTCTACACAACACGGACGTATTACATCGTTTCTGACCCACTAAAGCCGCTACAATCAGCAGCAAGACGGACACATTTCACCAACAGATGTTTCTGTTTCAAGGACACAAACAAAAGTCCTGATGGTATTCATAGGAAAGGATTTGAAAAACGGTGGTGATACCAGAAATGTTGTCAACTCGGGAAACACTTTACTGGAACAATGAATACAATGTGTTTGTGTTGCTTAAAGAGGTGATGTTTAAGATTTATTTCTGAGCTTTTTGTGCCTTTACTTAGAGACAGGAAGTGGATAGAGTCAGACCCCAGGGAGAGAGAGAGAGAGAGAGAGAGAGAGAGAGAGAGCGGGGAACGTCATGCCAGAGAGGAGCCACAGGTCCGAGTCAAACCCGGGTCACCAGCGTGGAGGAACACAACCTCTGCACATGGGGCAGGCGGACCACTACACTACTGCCGCCTGTGTATTCAGTTGTAAAGAACATGTTGGTTACCATTGCTTCATCATAGCCAACCTCTTTGGGGCCCCCCTATGAGCAGCCTTGGCAGTTACCACAGTCTGCTCACCATTCTTTACAAGCTTTGATTTTCCTCCCAGATTAATCAGAAGAATGGTTGGTACATGTGCAGTAAAAGGTCGTTAGCATGCAGAGGTTTTGGGTCGGTCATGCCTCGGGCTAAGCCCCCGTCCTGAGCCTGATCAGTCTAAGCAGCTTTTGACGTATCAGGTGAAATCACATAAAAAACACAATTCATCTTTTCTCTCCAACACACCATGTTGCAAGAGAACCTTCTGGAGGCCCTTTCATGGCTGCAGCACAAAGCATGCTGCTTCTTATCCTCTCTGCATGTTAGTCTGTGTGTATAAGGAAATAACATGGCATGTTGGGAAATGCACTGTGTTGAATTACCAAAGAATAAGACGTCTTTAGGAGGGTTTCCACGAGTGATGAGGAAGTAAAAGAGAAACACAACCAGCAGCACCGCCACACCGACCTCCAGGATGACGACGGGCCTGTGAGGGAGGAGAGAGTGGACTGTTATAAGAGACATGATGACATCACATTGTTCATGTTTTTAAAGACTGCAGACAACGTCATGACATCCCGCTCTGATGTTCTGCTTCAGTCCCTTTACTAATTAGTTTCTCATGTGGACGTCATGCCATTCTCTTCCACTGAGCTAAATGAGTAAATGATGATCAGAGTGAGAATCACCAGCAGCCTGTTAGAACAGGGAGAACTAATCCAGAGGTGTGGGAGGACGTCTGTCTGAGGGGCGCACTGCAGCCAGGACACGCTGAGGGGGGGCTGCAGGGGGGAGCTGGAAATGTCTCATTGAATTTACTCTCTTTATCCCCATACCATCTCAGGGTTTTTTTTACAGGACAACCAGCAGTCTCATTGGACCTCGGAGGTGTGAAAGAGAAGTTGTTTCTTCTTCTGTCAGAGGTGGAAACAAGCGGACTCTGTGGTGTTGGTATTTATCAAATAAAACGTCCAGCATTCTACTTTTCACTTTTCAAAATAAGATTTTTTCATTGTACAAAAAAATGTTTCTCATAGCCCACTGCACAGCTCCTACCTTTTGTACATTTTGTGTTTTTTTATGTTTATTTTTTATATTTTACATTTTTTAATTATATTTTATATATTGTAATAGCTTCTTATACTGTATTATTTAAGTTGTTGCTAGTTCTGCTTTATTTCCTTGTTAACTGTTTAGCAATAAACCCTGATTCTGATTCTGATTCTAATTGATGGCTTGTGAGAGAATAGAAACTAAATATTTTCTAATATGCATAAAAAGTGAAGTTGAATTTTCAGATTTTTCCAACAAAAGTTTGCTCTTAAGGAGAACTTGTGAAGCTCTGGATGTGCACTTTTCCCCCTCATGCTGCTGGTCTGCTCACCACAGTGGCTACAAAAGCCAAACTTTACATGCTGTAATCAATCAAAGACGTGGGCGAGGGAAGCAGCAAGCGAAGGCCGTGTTAGTTCAGCTCTGCCCTCTGTGTTTACCGGTCAAAGGTTCCTGCAGCCTCGCTCAAAGAAAGATGAATGTGCACCTGGTATCTCCCCATAAACAACATCACCCCCCTCGGATAAAAACGCACAATGTGGGGGAAAGGAATTCAGTGAGAGCAAAGGGAAGCTCCCCAGCTATACCTTCAGTTCCACGGCACAGGAAGATTTATGCACACAATACAGTTTGTTTGCCTGGTGGAGGGGCGTCGGGCACATTGTATGTAAGGAGCAATTTATCAAACTGCTCCGTGAAGTCTGTATTGATTGTCGGTGTCCACTCGCTCAAAAAAAAAAAAAAGGAGAGCGAGCGGGGAATCGTCCGGGAGGGGAATTAAAGTCTGTCAGAAATGAAAAATATATGGTGGTGAAAAAAACAATGTGTCGATAGCCGTGTGGATTCAGGCAATAGAGTTGCAGAATGCAATCATCAGCTGGAGACAAAACTATCAAGGCAGCATTAATAATACACAGATGAACTCCTCATTCACATCGACTTCTTTAAGCTTCCTCTTCTCTTTATGCCCCCCCTCATCAAATCTTTTTACACAACTGAAGCCGCGATGATGGTTCAATAAAAAAACTGCTTCAGAGATGAGGAGGTGACAGTCGACATCCAGCTTTGAGCTTACAGTGAGCTCTAGTGGTGGTGAAGTAAACTGTCTGCACCATCACACATGAAACCCTTAAAGGTGCACTATGTAGTGTTGGTAGATACATTTGAAAGTTGGAGAAGTGTACAGATTCTGTTGTATATGTTCATAACTCTACATACAAACTGTCCTCAGAGGAAAATGTGATCCCTGGAACACTGTTTGAAGATAAAATGATTCGGCAGAAGTTAAGGTGGTGGGCCCGCAGCAGTCAAACCGTAACTCTCCTGGTAGCTTTTTAGCTCTAAACAGTGATCCAGGGACCCATTTTTTACTTTGAGTAAAGTTTGTGTATTCAGTTCAGAAAATATAACATAGAATTGTTTCACTTCTCCAACTTTCAAATTTCATCAGAAAAACTCCATAGTGCACCTTTAAAGTCCCATCATGAAAATGAAAGTCTATATTGCATATTACTAAATGTTTGTATTGTTATTTATGTGCATGCATACGGAGACTGTCTGTAGACACTGAGCAATGAGACGTTAGTAAAAGTTGAGACTTACTCTTGTAACACGGGTTGGTGTTCATGGCATAGAGGACGCCGAGGGCGGAAAATGAAAACAGAAAGACTAAGGTCTCCATCTCGTCCAAAGCGGGTCAGCTTCCCTCCGACAGAATCCACAGAGCAAGACTGCAAACAGAAAAACAGGCTGTCAAATCAGCATCAGGATCAATGTTTTAAATAAATCAGTACTCGGATCGGTTCAGACGTCAACATGACAAAAGAGAAACTGAAAACACATCAATCTTTTTTAAGAACAGTCGAGTGATGAGAGTCGTTACATGAAGAGACGTGGAGGAGTTCTTACCGTCCAGCTACACTTCCCGTGGATTAATCAAACTGCAGCTGGCCTCAGGCTCCCATTTGCCTTTACTGTGGAAATAACCAAGTGGAGACAAAGAAGCTTTTGGGGGAACGAGTTATGCAATTTGGTTTTATCAGAGATTTGCATAAGTCGTATTAGAGAATAGGCCCACATTCCACTTAAGCAACACTCCCAGTCCCACTGATTTCCCCCTCCTCTTAGGGGGCACTTCATATCGTGTGTTTGATGAAATGTGTGCGGCCTGTGATGTCATGTGAGTTGTATGAAAGAGAGAGTGTTATATTTTCTATAGGGGGTCGAACAGGAAAGCTTCACGAGTCCCTTTTATTAATCCATCTGAAGCAATCTTAAAATATCTGAGAAATCTATTAAAGGCGTTTCAACTTCTACTTCATCAACACAAAACATGAAGTTAGTTTAAATAACAAACACTAAAACTGATAAATACAAGAATGCATCAAATGGTAAAAGTTCAACCGTTTAAAAAAAAACACATCAGTCACAAGTAGAAAACAGAAAAATGCAACAAACTGGGTCATTAGAATTAAGTACAGGTACTATAATTAGAACAAAAGAGCCAAAAATACACATGGTGTAACTGAAAGGTCCAATCAGTGAGATGTGTAGTGAGTGAAATGATAAAGGTATCTTACTATATGATCAGACATTAAAGAAACATGCCATGTTGAAGTGCTGGCTTCTCTGACAACAATGCAGCAGTCAGTATGTCCTCCTTTTAACTTTAGATTCTGGTCCTGAATGAAGTGATTGTACCCGACCTAAAAAGCCTCTGCATGTTTCTAATAAGCTCCACGAGCAGAAACGTGCTCAAACTAGGATCAATATTGGAGATGCTTTTGAAAAATGGAGAGAGGTTAGAACACAGAAAGGTTTACAGACCCATGCAGAGCTGGATAAACACTGAAGCTTCAGAGTCCACCACATGGTGACCTGTGTGAGCATCCACTCTAGAGAGGGGGGGGGGAGAGACAGCTCTCTACAATGTTTAGAATTTAGACTACAGTACCCATTTTAAACACTAGGGGTCAGAGTTACATACTGTTCCTTTAATATTATAAAATATTAAACAAAACAAAGTGAAACATCGTGTTTGCAAAAACAATAAGAAAACAATTTACTAAAGAAGAAAAAGTCCACCAGAAATTACAAGCTATGACGTCTGCACACATTAAGCCTTAACTTGGAAAACTTTGTTTCCAATTCGACTGTATCCTCTACGTTTGTACTGTAACAGCCGATAAGTCTTTTTGAAGGCAGGGAGGAGCAGATGGCATCTATCACACAGGAGAAACATGAGAGTACAGTTTGTTCAGTTCAATCTTTGAAAAGTGTAATACATGTATGACCTTTAGCTCATGTCTCCATCACATTTTTCTGATGAGTCTATGAGCAGGACACTTATGGTGCATTCATTTTACCTCTCGAATGTAGACATTTTACTGTTGCAAGTAGGCAACAAGTCGGACAAGAAACATGGATGCCTCCAGGAGTACCTTTTGTTAGCTAATACCTGACGATAACGACACACTACGTCAGGGGTCTCCCACAGGCACCTCTCCGTTTCTTAAAACTTTGCTTTGCTTCCTGCAGAAATCGCCCAGATCATCTTCACTAAATGCATTGTGCTTCTTCTAGAAATGTCTCTAAACATTAGCCTGCTTTTCCTTCTTTCACATTTCTGGCAACAGATTGCTCAAGCCTACAAAAAGGTCAAAACACAGGGACAGGACAAACTCTGAGCGCCGCTGAGGATATGACACACATATGAAGAAATCTAGGCTAAAACAAATATATTAGCCTAATAATTTAAAGAAGGGCCACACATCTTTAACTCTAAAGAGAATGTAAAACACTTTGAATCAACAATGATTAAAAAAAATATTAAGATTTTCTTTTTTGGGGGCACGCTGGTGGCGCAATGGTTAGGCTGGTATTGAGGCTCTCGTCTCGAGCGGTAGGCCTGGGTTCACTTCCACCCGTGGCCCCTTTCTGCATGTCATTCCCCACTCTCTCCCTGGTTTCTGACTTTATCTACTGTCCTCTTTCTGCATTAAAGGCACGAAAAGCCCAAAATAAATCTTCCAAAAAAATATTTTCTTTTTTGGCAAAGCCACAGGGAGGCGCAAAAAGCCACGGGTTGCCGACCCCCGCTATAATCAAACCTTCCAAACAAAACAATCTGCCAATTTAGATTTCCTTTAAAAAATAAAGTTTTTTATAGAATGACAAATCCAGCTCCAACACACAAACAGTTAACCGCCTTAGTTTGATTATATTTTTATGATTGCATTTAATCTAACATTGCACAGGTTTTTACCCTGAAGGATTACACACATATTGATGTTGTACTCATCACTATATTTTAGTTTTTGAGTTACCCAACCGGCGGAGGATGACACTTCCTGATTGGTGCAAAGGGCGTGGCTAAAAGCTTGTGAACATCTTTATCCTGCAGAGTGCTTATTGAAGCCGAGCCAGAATCTCCAGTGTTGAAAAATAAAACTGAACTGTTCCTGCAGGGGGCGCTGGAGTCCCATCGATGGTGGTCTCCATGCTGGAAATGCTGTCTCAGTCTAACTTTCAGTCAACCTAACGACAGGCTGAGAGCTGGAGCTGAGGCGGGTTTTAAACCTCCTGACAAACTGTTACACCACGCCAAACCTGTCGATCAGGTCAGCTACACACCTAACTATGGACACATGTATTGTTTTCAAAATCAATCATTTTTTAAATTCACCCCCCGAACAGTGTGTGCCAGTGATGACAATAACTAATCAGACCTTTTAGTTTTTTTGTACAAGGATGTAAACGTGTTTATTTCTGCTGCAAAAACTGCTTTTTTGCACCTCATGTGTATGTAACTTGTGTTATGTCACCTGCAACCAGCCTCTAGTGGACACTCGAGGAACTGCATGATTTTACACTTCAGCTAAAATTGTTTTTATTTTTCAAGACCGGAGTTTGCTGCTTGGTTGAATCTTAAATGCTCGGGCAGCCATTTTTTGTTTCTTTTTAATTAACAGGCAAAGATTAGAATGATGCAGTGTTGTCATGGAAACAGAATGTTTGAAAAAAAATAAACCAATCAAAGGAATTCCAGAACTCTGGATCCTCAAAGGAAGTTAGAATCTTCATATCCAACCTCAAGTAAAGGGCAAGAAAGCACAGACTCTCAACAGTTCACGGATTGATTCAGAGACTACAACAGTTCACAGATCTGATCTGAGACATTGTCTTTATAAAGACAACAAACAACTCAACATCCAAGACACTGATTCAACTAAGAACAGCAATGGAACAATCCCAGAGCTGGGGAGATATCATGGAGAAGGAGATGGGAGATGAGGAGGTTGGAGCTGGGGAGTTTAAATACCCCATGCAAGGAGCCAACTGCTGGAACCGCCGCCAAAACAACAACAGGCAGCGTCCTACTCAGCCAGAAGGTCAGACTTTCCACCGAAGGAGGGAGGAAGCCTACGGGCAACACCACTGGCAGACCCAGAATGGACCTGATCGCTCACTGCCTCAGAGACGCCCACCCCAATGGCAGGTGGTTGCAGAGCTCAGGAAAGAACTGGAAGGAGTGAAGGCTCTTCTGAAACAGGAGAAAGATCTGAGCAAGGCAGAGCGGGAGAGATACACCATCAGCAAGTCAAAGATCCAGGAGGTAGAAGAAAGGTTGAGGGTGGAGCAAGAAGAGAGACTCCAATGTGACCAGGAGATCAGGATGCTCAAACAAAAACTCCAGGAAACAACCTGTAGTGAACCAAAGCAGCAAGAAACTCTGCAATCTGAAAAAGAGGCCCTGCTGGAAAAGATTAAGGTCATGCAGAAAGACACCTTCAGCAAGGACATCAAGACCGCTAAGCAGACCATGGCCTTAAAGTACCAGCTGGAAGAAGTAACACTAAGCAGGCAACACCTCTTCTCCAAACTGGAAGAACAGGAGGAGGCCAATCTGGGGCTGCAGAAGGAGTTAAGAGACTCCAAAAAGAAAAGGCAGCACCATAAAATGATGGCTGACAACCTCAGGAGAGAAATGGAGGAAATCAGGCATCAGCATCTGGAGTCAGCCAACAAGGACCGGATGCTGGTAGAGAGACTGACAGAGGACAAAGAGTCACTGGAGCAGGAGGTGAAGGTCTTCAAAGAAGAGGTAGAGGAGATCAATTGTGCACTGCAGAAGGAGGTGGAGGAGCTCCAAAAAGACAAAGAGCACCACACATTGAGGGCTGACTGCCTTCAGAAAGAGCTGGAGGAAGTCAGTCAACTGTGCACTACCAGTGAGGAGATCACTTCCTGGAGGAAGGCTGAGAAGATCTGCACTTCAGAAAGCCGCCAGAGGAGGCAGCTCGTCTCCAAACTGGAGAGACAGGAGGAGACGATTTACTCTCTGAAGAAGAAGGTGGAGGAGCTCCAAAAAGACAAAGAGAACCAAAAGTTGAGGGCTGACCGCCTTCAGGAAGAGCTGGAGGAAGACAGTCCACCGTGTCCTACCAGAGAGGACATCACTATGTTGAGGAGGGCTGAGAAGATCTGCGCCTCAGAAAGCCGCCGGCACCAATACAAGCGGCAGAGGAGGCAGAACCTGGACCCAAAGTGACAGCACCAGCCCCTCCTCCTCCCCACCTTTCCACCTCCAAACTCCCCCCAACACACACAGGCTGTAACAGGCCTGGCAGCACAGGGGAACACATCAAGTCCTAACAGACAGGAATCCACTGGTACCTGTCT